TCTTGAACGATGAAGATATGTATGAAACATGAATTAAACTGAGGCTGCGGAAGGCAGCGGGCCAATTCGTTCCTGCAGTGGGATGGATTGTGATGTCTTTTTTCCCCCCTCCCTGTTTTCATCTTCGTAGGGCATCATAACTCCCTCGGACCATCTTGTACCGCACCACGTGACGCAGCCGGCGGTCCCTGCATCACAAACATTGATGGTATGTTGTCCACGGTGCAAAACCAACGTCAGATATGCTTTGTAGCCAAGGAATGCAGAGATGATGGCGGTAGGTTTTTCCCCCCCTCAAAACGGGGCTCAACTTGGTCTCGTCTTTTTACAGCCAGGCTACCATTTCTCAACGCAAATGGGAATGATGCACCAGCTCAAGGAACAGCTGGAGGAGCGGACGCGCATCCTGCAAGCTGACATCAAGATGCAGGAAGAGGAACTGCACGTAATCAAGGAGCAGCTGCAGCTTGTGCAAGACTCCAATTTGCAGGTATCTTGGTCAGGTTGCTTTAGCAGGAGACTGGTTGTCCTTGGCGGATCTTCTAGATTCCTCAGCAAAGCTGGCTGAGGAATTCTGGGAGTTGAAGTCCACAAGTCTTAAAGTTGCCAAGGTTGGACACCCCTGATCTAGATGGACCTCCGAAGGTCAACTTCTTCTCCTTCCTCTCCTCCTCTTTCTTCTTGTCCACCACTCCTCCTTTTCCACCATTCCTCCTCGTCCTCTTCCTCCTCTTCCTCCTTTCCTTCTCCTTCTTTCTCCTCCTCCTCCTTTCCTTCTCCTTCACACCTTCTCCTCTCCTCCTTCTCCTCTTTTTCCTTCTCCATTCCTTCTCCTTCACACCTTCTCGTCTCCTCCTTCTCTTTCTTCTCCTCCTTTCTCCTTCTCCTCCTTCGCCCTGGTGGATTTTGATTGACCCCAGAAGCTCAGGCAGGAGACTGTCCGTCCCAGTGGATCTTCTAGATGGACCTCTGAAGGTCAACTTCTTCTCCTTCCTTTCCTTCTTTCTTCTTGTCCACCACTCCTCCTCTTCTCCTTCTCCTTCACCACCACACTTCTCTTCTCCTCCTTCTTCTCTTCTTTTCTCCTCTTCCTCCTTTCCTTCTCATTCACACCTTCTCCTCTCCTCCTTCTCCTCCTCTTTTTTCTCCTCCATTCCTACTTCTTCACAACTTCTCCTTTTTTCTCCTCCTCCTTTCTCCTTCTCCTCCCTGGTAGATTTTGATTGACCCCAGAAACTCAAGCTACTTCTCCTTCTCTATCACTATCTCCTTCTCCTCCTGTTCCTCCCTCTAAGCAGCTAGTAGTACTCCTCCTTCTCCTTCTCCAAGCAGTTAGCAGTACCCTGAAAGATACCAGCTTCTCCAGGTGCCTAACTTATCATTTTACTGTTGAAGAGAGAGCATTTCTTGGGCAGTTTTATTTCAACAGAGTGGTAATTATCTTCCCACCCAGAAAGTTCAGCATCTTCAGAGAGGCCTGAGTAAACTCTCCATAGGAAACCCCAGAAATGCATCGCCCATTGTGACAGTTTCTGACAAAAATCTTGGCCAACTTCCCCCATGTCATAATGTCATAATGTCAGATTATTCCTGTACCTCGCTTAGCAAAAACAATTCTTATAAAATGACGAGGCTGTTTTCTACATAAAATTTCTGGCCATTTAAAAAAAAAAAAAAACAGTGCACAGGTTTTCCAGCAAATAATCTAACACCTGTTCTGTAAAGATTCGGTTTTAATTTTGGAGTGTTTATAATTTATAATTGGCAAAGGGCTGGCTGACCTCTAGTGGATATTCTTGCCATAGTTCCATGCAGTGATGGAAATTCTGAATTGCCTGACTTTTCAATTATTTCCTTGCCTCAAACGTACCGAAACCTTTTGTGTTTATGTCCTCCTTTCAATTCTCAAGCAACCTCCTTTCTCTTAAAGGCAACGTTTTAAGGCGTCTCCAAGACCAGAAAGTTGATGAACAAAAATGTCCTTTGTCTTGATGTTCCAACTGGAACTTGATCTCTCTCTCACACACATAAATCTACCCAAAAATCTAGCAACACCAAAACCGATATTTCTTGTGCCCGTCTCTCCCAATCTGTGTCTTCTTCCATTCCTTTCTTCCTAGGGACACTCTCTGCAAGTTGGTTTTGTGTAGCACAAGGTGTGTTTGCCTTCACTTTTCCTCACCGTTCACCTTTTGTAGAAGGCTGGAAAGCATGACTGTGATGATCCGGGGTGTGGCAACCACAGCCAGAGAATAAGTAGAGGACCCTTTATTAGCTCCAACTTTGCCCCCAATGACCCGGTTACCTTCCGGTCTGGAAAAAAAAACTCTCCCATGAACCTGCAACAGCCTTTGGCTGCAGATATTCCAGTCCAAATGTTGTAAACTGAAAACTTTAAACTATAAAATCAAGGAGGCAAAATAAGGTTATTAAATCCAGCAGGGCAAGATACGGAGGTCCAGAAAGGAAGTAACAAGGCAATACATCAAACCAATTGGGAGGATGCCAGGAACTCAGATAACAGCAGCCAACATGAGATAAACTCAATGTTTGTTCCCAACAAATGCTGCTCTCACTTGCCTCTCCATTAAACTCTCTTCCCAGATGTGCCTAATGAAGGGAATCAGGGCCCTTTCCTCACCCATAAGACAAACCACACATGTTGCTCTCTTCTCTGTTCCATCCCTCCCTAGGATGAAGAGGGGTTGGGCCTGGGTCTTCCTCTGAACTCCCTCTCCCTTGTTCTACCTCTTCCCTGCTCTGCCCAGCGGACTTTGCCCTTCCCCAGTTTCCTCCACAGCCAATGGAGCCACACTCCCACTCCCTGTTGGCTGTTCATCTTCCTCCTCAGATTCAGACTCCAATGGGGGCATGACAATGACAGTTGATAGGTTAACTGAGCTCCAGTTGGCATTGTGAGGTTCTCATAAAAATGTCCCCCTCTACTTTTGAGGCTTCCTGGTGTCCACATCTCCCCTTTGACGGTCCTCTCTTGTCCAACAGATGTTCATGCAACAGTCCATGCCTGTGGTCTTCAGCACCGTGCAGTCCCAACTGAGCCCAAGGCGGCAACCAACGGGAGCAACCTTAGGGATCAAGCCAGCTGCACCCAAGAAGTCCCAACAGCAGCAGAGCATCATGGGATCAAAGCAGTTTGGCGGTGCTCCCTTGGCCTCCCAGCCATCCTTCCTCAGGGAACCTTGTGTCACATCAAGCCAGGTAATTCCCCGTTTTCGTTTTTGTTTTACATTATCATGATTGGTGTGGGAGGGGGGCCTCGGGGCCCTCTGAGCTTGGTGGTTTTCTGGCAGACATTTCATGACCCAACTAGGTAACATCATCCGTGCACGGGGGGAGGGGGGTTTGTGGAGGGGAGGAGGAGGAGGAGGATTTACAAATTTACAGAGTTAGGAGGGACCTTGTAGGTCATCTAGTCCAACCGCCGCCCCGCCCCCCCCCCGCCCATGATTGTGGAGCTTAGTGGTCTCTTGGCAGACATTTCACTACCCAACTAGATAACGTCATCAGTGGCTAGAAGGGAGTGGAGTTTGCTCTGGTTTTATATACTAGTTGGCTTGCCCTGTTAGCGTTGGTGGGAGTGTTGGTGGGAGTATAAGCAGAGAGCAAATTGTACTCCCTTTCTAGCACTGATGAGGTTACCCAGTTGGGTAATGAAACGTCTAAAAAAAAAAAGCACCAAGCTCAGAGAGCCTCAAGGACCCCACAGTTGTCATCATGCTCCTCCTCCTCTTCATCCTCCTCTTCCTCTTCCTCCTCCTCCTCCTCCTCCTCCTCCTCCTCCTCCCTTCTAGCACTGATTATTTTACCTAGTTGGATAATGAAATGTCTCCAAGAAAACATTCAAGCTCAGAGAGCACCAAGGACCCCACAGTTTAACCCTGAGCTACGTTCTCTTCGATCGATCCATTTAGTCCTCTGTGGTTTCCCTACCCAACCCCAGTCAAGCCAATCAGGGGTTTGATTTCTCCTAGATCAGGGGTGTCCAACCTTGGCAAAGCTGGCTGAGGAATTCTGGGAGTTGAAGTCCACAAGTCTTAAAGTTGCCAAGGTTGGACACCCCTGCCCTAGATCAACCCACGGGGACAGTCCAATCAAATCGTGATTCCAATCAAAGGCCAGAAATTTCTCAAAGCCCAGACAAGATAGCCTTCCAATCACTTTCCACCGATGAGAGAGAACTTGCTCAGAGGAGAACCCCTAGCACACGAATTAGAAAAGGGAAGGAAAAATTAGTTGGTGGTTCACTTGAACAACTACCCTTCTTAGCGACAGAGATGCTGGCCGTAAGTCAGAGGAATCTCTGTGGCGTCTGAATCAATTCCGCCCCCCCGCATCCTGCATGATATCTTGTCCAAGGCCTTTGTGTTTCGATTTCAGGGGCAACCACAACAACGAAAACACGTTGTGAGAGGAAGCCAGATCAAACCGGTGTGCATGCCCATTCAGATGAGCATTTCCCTACCCGTCTACAACAACCCTGTGGTCTTTACTCAAACCCACCCTCTCCCCGTGCCTTCTCCAATGCCACCCGAACTGGGTGAGAGGCCACAACCACCTGATTACAACCAAGAAGGAAACTTAAGGTATGGATGAAGAGAGGCCTTGAGAAAGGAGGAGTTTTTGGTGGCAAAACATCCCTCGGTTCAACCGTCTGGAAATGAAGAACCTAGTGTTCCATGTCCCAAAGGTGATTTTTTGCAAGAGGCAACTGGACTTTCTGGGTTTTTCTTTGAAGAGGTTTCGCTTCTCATCCCAGAAGCTTCCTCAGCTTCTTTAGCAGGGAGTCTTCAAACTTGACAGCTTTAAGACTTGTAGACTTCAGCTCCCAGAATTCCTCCTCCAGTCATGTTAGCTCAGGAATTCTGGGAGTTTGAAGTCCACCAGTCTTAAACTTGCCAAGTTTGAAGACCCTTGTTCTTCAGCTTCTCTCAGAACTGAAGAAGCTTCTTGGGTGAGAAATAAAACACCTTCAAAAACAAAACCAGAAAGTCCTCTCCTGAAAAAAAAAAAAAAGGCACCTTGGGGAGAGCCTATACCATTCCAGCAGAAGTTTGTCCAATCTCTGGGCTTTCTGGGTTTTTCTTTGAAGGCATTTCACTTCTCATTCAAGAAGCTTCTTCAGTTCTGACTGGATGGTGGGGAATGGAATAAATGCATAGCACGATATAGGAGGACCAATCCATCGGGACTAGATTCTGTATTGAAAAGGCACAGGCCGCTTTTTTTGAAGACAGCAAGGTCCACATTTTGGACAGGCTGGTTTGAAAGAGGGGATGAATAGGACATTTAGGTCCAAATTGAACGGCCCTCACTCAACAGGGGGGGAGGGAAATAGGACATCGTCCATCTCCAGTCGACAACACAGCTCCTTTCACCAGTTCCAAGAAGTCTCCATACCCATTTGCACCACTCAGGTGACCTTAAGGACACCGAGAAACCTCCAAGCGTCCTCAACAACTCTCCAAAAGGATGCAAATGACCAGCTGTCTACAAGGAATATAAATCCTTCCATTCCCCACCATCCAGTCAGAGCTGAAGAAGCTTCCTGGAGGAGGAGCGAAATGTCTTCAAAGAAAAAAAACAAGAAAGTCCAGTCGCCTCTTGAAAAAAGCACCTTTGGGACAACCATGACCTAAATGATGGAGAATCTCCACAGACTAATGTCCCAAGGGATGCTCTGTCTGATCTGTTGGACTTCCGTTGAGTCCTACGGTCCAAAATGGGTGCAACTTGCATGAAGATCATTCTATTTTTCCTCCCAGTTGTGTGTTGTGTGTGCTTGTTTTCCTTCCCCAGGATGTTGTTAGATCAACCTGTGCAGTCATTGATGTCCAGCACGAGTGGGAACAGTCAGACCTCCCAAAGCAACACTAGTAGACAGCAGACCAAGTAAGCCACTGTCGTATCACGATGACTCTACCTTGACCAAGTGAAGATGAGCGGACTTCAACTCCCAGAATTTCTAAGCAATGGCTTAAGAATTCTGGGAGTCGAAGTCCACATACCTGAAAATGGCCAAGATTGAGAAATCTTGCTCTACTGAATAAATGTACATTCTGCAGAATTTTCTAGAACATAACAAAAGACTGGTGTATTGTGAAGCCAGACTTGAACATTGGACGGTTCTCCAGATGCAAAGGTTGTAAATTTTGACTTGCTGCTTTGTGGGAACATACTTCTGCCCTGCTAATGTTTTGATGAGGCCTAACTTAATCCTAGAAAGTCAGAGTCAAAAGGCACTTTAGTGGCGGGATTCAAATAATTTAACAACCGGTTTTCTGCCCTAATGATTTCTTCCAACAACCAGTTCACCAAACTGCTCAGAAAGTTAACAACCGGTTCTCCCAAACTGGTGCAAACTGGCTGAATCCCACCACTGCTTTAGACCTTTACTTCATCAAACTTTCTGCTTACTTCAGGAACCCACAACTGCACCAAAGAAGGTGATTATTTATGGATTCACCAACTCCTTGGAGATCCAGGAAAAAAAAAAGTCTGATGTAACACAACCATTCTTAAACTGTTCTTCCTTCGCCTTCCTCGTTACTTTGAAGGTCCATAAATTGAAAGCTCTTCTAAAAAATCCCTTAAACGAGCAAAAATCTTTTGGGATTGATTGAAAAATCCCTATATGGGTTCATCCCAACTTGCTTTCTTGCGTACCGTGTAAGAAAGACTGTCATAGATCTAAGGAGTTGTCCTGTTTTATTACCTGTTGGATCTTCTTTTATTTATCATTATCTTTTAAAGATGCCGTAATCCCTTGCGGAGTGGTGTCTTGGGCAACTGAATGGAGATGAGTGTTGACTGGCCGGATGCCCTTCCTGTCGCCAGAGCAGGGTTTTGTTCAGCAGATATATTCTCAGTGTGCCCAGAGAGAGAAATATCTGCCTCTGCCTAGGATCAAATTCACAGCCTTCTGATTACGAGGCGAGAGCTCCACCTCTAGGCCACCGCACCAATCTCGGATCTTCTTCTATTTATGATGTCTCCAAACCTGGCCTTCCAACTCCCAGAAGTTGGCTGGGGCATTCTGGGAGTTGGAGTCCACGAGTCTTAAAACCACCAAGTTTGGGGACACGTGCTCTATTTAAAGGCATGTCTCTGAGCCTCTCCATGAAATCCAGCTATCTCGTTTTGATGTGGGATGTGAAGCCTTTCGTTTCTGTTTCTTCATCAAGCTTTTCATTTTTTTTCCCCTCGGAAGGTTTACTCAAGAGCCACAGAGTCTGCCTTCCGCCATCCAGATGCAACCCGTCACGTGCACGGACATCCGAGCCCCTATCCCATCTCCTGGCTTCACCCCTTCTCTGATGATGCCCCAACCCAGCGTGACTGTCCCACAGAGCCATCCAGCTGGCACCCTCCACCAGTGGACGCCGCAGCCTGTTCAACAACATCATCTTTACCTCCAGGTAACTGTTTTGCAAGAGGCGACAGTCGATAAAGAAATCATCATCGTGTCAACTCGTAAAACATTCCTGGGCCTGTTTTCAAGTTGCCATAACTTTTTCCACTTCTTGGTTTTTCTAATCTAGTGCTATTTTTGTTTATTTTTTTGGAACGGCTTTCTGGAAGGTGGTGATAGGGTGTGATGACCCGGGGCATGACACAAAAATAACCAAATCACAAAAATAGAATAAAGTTCCTTTAATGCCTCCAACTTGGCCCCAATGTCCAATTATCCTGGGCTGGAAATCAAACTCTTAAAAGAAAACAGTTTACAGAGGGAGTAAATGCAGTCCACACCCAAAGTAAAGTTAATTCAAAATAAAAAAAATCTTGACACAAACCACACTGAAGGAATTACTATAGTAGACAAGGATGATTAATTGCAGACTTCTTCCAGATTATGCAGCCACATCGTTGGGAGGAAGCCAAAACACAGATAAGTTCCGACAAGAATAATGCATGCTTTGCTTCCAGCACTGGGCCATGTCCTTTTAAACAGTCCTCCCAGCTGCAGCCCATGAAGGGGATCAGGGCCCTTTCCTCCCCTGTAGACCATGCCATTCACATTTCTCCCTTATCTCTCCTCCCTGTGTGCCCTAGGATGGAGAGGGGATGGGCCTGGGTCTTCCTCTGACTGCCCAGCCGGCCTGTGCCCTTTCTCAGTTTCCTCCACAACCTCCAGAGCCACACTTCCACTCCCTGTTAGCTGTTTGTCCTCTCCCTCGGAGTCAGAATCCAACAGGGGCATGGCATAGGGCTATACCATTTCAAGGAGATGCCCTCCATGTGACGTTTTGATAAAGAAAGGACAGGTCAACAATCTTCGGCTTGGTCGTCTCAAAGATCACAAGACCCACAACTACCCCTTGCCAACATACAACAAAACCTTCCATTCAAGAGTTGAACACTAACCTGGCAGAGAAACCCAAAGGTGCTTTTTTTTTTAATTTCAAGAGGCAGCTGGACGTTCTGGTTTTTCTTTGAAGAGGTTTCGCTTCTCACCCGAGAAGCTTCTTCAGCTCTGAGAGAAGCTGAAGGAGCTTTTGAGAGAAGCTGAGGAAGCTTTTGGAATGAGAAGTGAAACCTCTTCAGAGAAAAAACAGAAAGTCCAGTTGTCCCTTGAAAAAAACCAAAAGCACCTTTGGGACAACCACGACCTGAAGGACTGAGAAGCTCCATAGACGTGTCCTTTGAAGCTGCTTCATGTACAATCTTCTCTTCCTTACAGATGCCAAGCGCAGCTGAACCGGGGCAGAACCAGCACTTATTCCAGCAACCTCCCTTACCTCAACAGACTGCCACCCTGGGTTACTTCCACCACCCGCAGCCCCCCAGCCATCACCTGCAAGGGCAGCCGTGCAGCCTACAAGACTTGCCTGAAATGCAGCTGCCTTGAGGTTCTCCAAGGAGAGGTGGTCATCACGTTTCCCTCATGGAGGGCGGCGAATCCCGAGCACCGAGTAAGAGAGCTTGGTTCCTCCTCAGAAGGCGGCAAGGCCGACCATGAGAAGGATGGAGAAGGAGCGGAGAGCTACAAGCTGGCATCCTTTCTGCTTAGGAAACCGACTCCGCAGCACAAAAGGCAGATAGCCTTGGCTGTTCAACCTCCACAGCTCCACAAGCGCAGGGAGGAAAGGTTAAGGGAGTTAAAGTTTGCTTCAGGAACTGTCCGTCAATGTTAAGTTTGACAAGCAGACTAGAATTAGGAGCTGGCATGGACAAGACACCAGCATGACCAGAATGGTGGAACTCAAGGACTTGCAAGAAATCACAATCCTAATAATTGCAACTAGGTGGATTTTAGCTTGCAAGTCCTTTGAGTTGCTACTAGGATCAAATTTTTGATGCTGATAAATTTGGACCCCAAGAGGTGGTTTTTGAAAAGCGTTTTGCTGCCAGAGAGATCACAGCCAGTCCTGGCCTGATTGCTTGTTCAAGTGTGCAATTGATATATTTTAGGTTTGCAATTTCCTTGCGGCTCAATTTCCCCCTCCCCCCATCTGGACTTATCTTTTGGATAATCGAGCGATGCTGCTACTGTTTTATGAAAACCAACCACTTTTGGCCTGAATTCTTTCCTTGTACACCAGCTCCTTTTGATCTTTTGAGTTGCCTGTAAAAAGAGTCCATTGGGTTTTTATTTTATTACAAAATGGAGATTTTTTTTTTAAAAGAAAAAAAATCTTTATCTAGCTCAACTCCCCGATGAACCAAATAGGGTGCAAAATCTTTATTTTTTCTTCGTCTGGTTGACTTGCATTTTGTTTTGGAGAAATATCTTGTCACCCAGAGAGAGAGAAAAAAGGCAAACTTTATGGTTTTGCTGTTAAAGAGTTTGGCAAAGTGGAATCTTGATCGAAGAGTCAGTAGGGTTAACAATAAAACGTATTTTTGTAAATGGTAGATTTTTTTTAAAAAAAACACCTGTGTTTATATATTTATGAACTTTTTTTTAAAAAAAGAACGTTTTTTTAAATTCCTCCGTGGTGAGAAAACACCAAAGCATCCTTTATTGACTCTTTTTTTGCAAAAGAAATGAATTGTAATTTGCAAGGGGCATTTTAAAAAAAAAGACTTGCAACTTACTTTGGCTTACACATTTTATTCTTTAGTCTTTCCAGCTTGTTCCTCTTTTTGGGATGTGAAACTTTCACCTGCTGCTGTTAGTGCAATGTTGTTTTCACAAGTGCAGTGTTAGGAGGCAGTTTGTTTAATAATAGTTCAGGGTCATACATTTGAAAAAAAAAAGCAAACTACGTTTATTCAGGTATAGTTGTATGTGTGTGTATATATAAAACTCTCAGGCAGATGAATCACTGTTTTATCAAAATCTGCATTTTCCTAGGATTGTAGTTTCTTAACAGCTAAACATGCTTTGCATGAACAGGCATGTACCTGTCAGTTTCCCTGGATATTTAAACAAAGGGGTAACAATGGATTTTTTCCGAAATCCAGTATTTATAGAGCAGTATTCCTCAACCTTGGCCACTTGAAGATGTGTGAACTTCAATTCCCAGAATTCCCCAACCAGCAAGTCTGACATCTAATGCAATGCTTTACAAACCTGGGTTAAACGTGGTTTAACATTGGGTGAACGATCCACGAACCCACTACCCATCTCAAAAGGGACATTTAAATGGAATTAAAAGTCTGCCTTGTGTTCTAAACTATGTTTGAACATCTAAAGTATTTCTATTAAGATGAAAATTTGATCCAATCCCCAAGGGTAATTTTGTTGAAATGATATTTAAGATCAGTCTGGGAATCTCGCTTTTAAAATCCTGGTAGACCTCAAATTCCGTTTGTTTGTTCAGCGACTGTTTGAAGTTACGACGGTGGCTGGAGGAAGGGAACTCATAACCAGCTCTCCAAGTTGATAAAAGAGTTTCTGAAAAGCACTTTTGGAAGGGGAAACCTTTGGGAAACCCTGATCTAATACAACAGCGATGAAGTCATTAAACAGAATAGTCTTGTTTTAATTCTGCTCGGTGGGTTGAGGAAGACCGCTTGAAATGATAAATCATCTCCCACATCTTTAGAATTTGGAAGGGTAGAGAGCAGGCCAAGAATGTTTGCTGAGCCCATGAGTTTGTCTTTTTTAACCTTAATGCCTAATACAACTAGTCCTCGAAGTATGACCCCAATTGTTCCCAGAATGTATGTTGCTAAGTGAGAAATTTGTTAAGTGGGTTTTGCCCCATTTTACGACTTTTCTTGTTAAGTGGATCATATGAACCAGTGGCCAAGCGTCCCAAGGTAAATCACATGACCCTAGGGATGCGGCCATGGCCATAAGTGTGGGAAACGGTCATAACTCTGCTGTTGTAACTTTGAACGGACACTTAAATGAACTGTCGTAAGTCAAGGACTACCTCTAGATATGTTGTAGAAGTTAGAAGTCCTAGCAGGATCCAAAGTGAGACGAATCTTTAGTTCGTCGTGGAAGCACAAAAATTATTTTTCCCTCCCCCAGCCTAGCACTTTCTGTACATATTTACAAATGGAAAGGCTGGTGGGTTGACAAGAGGCAGAATCTAAACTTTATATATTAGCAGGAAGGAAGGAAGGAAGGAAGGAAGGAAGGAAGGAAAAGAAAGAGGAAGGAAGGAAGGGAGGAGGGAGGAAAGAACAGAGAGAAAGAAAGAAAGAAAAGAACAAAAGGGGAAAAAGAAAAAAGCGAAGGTTTAAAATTGAATATTGAATTTATTTTGTACGGTGTCAAATATAGATAACTTTTTTTTAAAAAAGAAATGTTCCTATTCATAAAGTATTTTGTAAAATGGGGGGAAAAAAAATAAAGCGTGAGGAAAGTGTCTTATTGAGGTTTGGTGCAGGGGCCAGGGGGGAATAAACCAGGATCGACTGGAACCCTCTCAAATCCTTGTTAAACCGTGTCCTTAGATCCTCCAGCACATTTGTACGTATTATTTTGGAAGAAAAATAAAGCTCTACTTTTAAGACACGTTGTGTGGTGCCTGATGGTTCCTGGATTATGTTCAGCATAGGAAAGGAAGGAGGTATTTTGTGGGTCTTATTTTACTCTGAAGCAGAAATTAAAAGTTCTGATTCTTAAAAGTAGCTTAAAAGTGACTCAACTGAATACATTTTTTTGCTCCTTCATAAACA